GGAAGCTGCTCCCGACTCTAACCCTAACATGTGTACCGAGTGAGTACCAATCCCTCCTAGGTCAACGCTGGTATAGACTTTACCCTGAGCTTCAGACGACGGTTCTATCTATGGTTGTGTATGGCTCCTACTCTTTCTCTCATGGTCAAGTTCAAACTAATCCCTTTCAGCCGTTCCACCACTCTCAATCCTTCGCTCGTGGGCTTTTCTCAGCCGCGGCGACTACATCATTTATTGCCCTTTCCATGTTTTCCAACCCAATCTGTAACCTCGCCCTTGGACAGCCAAAATTGATTCTCACATGATGGAATACGCCAAAATCCCGCCCATCCGACACTGCGACTTGAGCATTCTCTAATAAGAACGTGGCTGCTTCTACGCCTTGGCTCAAGTAAGGAGCTAATGCCGACGTGTCAACCCACAATAGATAGGTCGCATCGTGGTTCGAGTAAGGTCTCAGCAAAGGAATGCGAGTTTTAATGAAATGCACCAAAAAGTCGCGATTGCCCCGGAGATAGGAGAGCATGGCTTGCCGCCACTCTTCTCCACCGGTATAGGACGCGTGTAGAGACTCGTATCCGAAGGCATTGATTTCTGGAGGCGTACAAGAGAGGTGAGGTCACACACAGCGGAAGGCCTTAGACGCATAGGTCGTGCACTGCAGAACATGGAAGTCTAAGTGAAGTACCCGCAGAAAGCATGCGGGTCGACAGATTTATTTAAGATTTGTTGCCATGCCAAGGGTGCCTCCTCATTTGCCCTTTAATCAGACCATCAGTAAGAGCGGAAAGCACCTACCTGTCACGAAACCCCGTGCCGCCCGTTTAAATCGTGTCCGCAGCTCTATGTCAGGAATTACGGCATATGCGCAGGATAGTCCTGGGACATTGTAGGTCTTGCTGGCTGCATGGAGGATTATGGTCCGTTTCATCAAATCGGCGTCGCCCAAGGCGGCAATGGGAACGTGCGGAGTACGATCAGGTTCCAAAATCAGGTCGTGATAGATCTCATCAGAGAGCAAGACTAGGTCGTGCCTCTTGCAAAAGTCACCGAGCTCTCCCAGCTCCTGCGAACCACACAAGGGGGGAATTCAGGACAATAAGGGGGGAATGTGGGTCTCGCTCGCATACAGCAAGTCTTTTCTTGACATGCTCCTCACTCTTTCTATGTATGGACCGGTCGATCAAAAGAGCAACCAGGAGAGAGGCCCGGTGACCGCCCGCAGGGACAAACCAATTGCCTTCGAAAGGGGACACGATTGACTCGCGTTTCGTTCCAGGAAATGGAAAAGCCCACACATTACAACTCTTAGCACTCGCTTGCTAGCGAACAAGTCGTTTATTTTCACAGCATGCTCCTCCTCCTTTCGTCGATATCTTCGCCGAATACGAAGGCGAAAACAGGCATCCCCCCTAGCCTCGTACCTGTGCAGTGAAAACCTTCCCCACTGGGTTGTGCGGATTGCACAGCGTGAACATCTTGGTCCGTGGTGTGACCAGACTCTCCATTTTGGCTAGGTCCATTCTCCACTGCCCGAGGTCCTCATCGAACCTCAAGGGCACTTGCAGGGTTTGCATGTCGGCAGTTTTCGGCGTCCAGAGGAAGGGCGGGTAGATGGGGGTGTTGGTCATGACTGAATCGCCCGCGCCTCCAGCCATCCGCGCAGCCACTGTCAGGGCAGGGACTAGGCCATGACTCCAGACAATCCATTCCGGCTCGACCTGTGTTAGGATGCCACCGACGGAGGAAGAGGGGTTTGAGAGGGCCCAAAGTGCTTCAACACATGATTGAAGGGTGGAGGAAAAGGCAATGTTCGGTCCCTGTAAGTCATATAAGAACCATCCCCATGATTTCGCCCTAAGTAAGGTCGTTGTCCACAAACCTTGTAGTGGGCGGTTCTTTCCAAGTACTTGATCACTGCCTGCGTCACCTCCTCTCTGGGCACCGAATAGCCATAGACCCCATGCTCAGCCCGGGCATGCATGGCGTCGATCACACATTGAGGCGCCCGAAAGTCCATGTCCGCCACCCACAAAGGAAGGATGTCGGGACCGTATTTGGTCCATTTCAGGCTCGAAGTCGCCCTAAGAAGAAAGACAATTCAAGATGGATACAGTCGTTAAAGCACTGCTCGAGTAGCTACATGCGCAATATAAGTATGCCCAGATACTTGAAGACATAAAGAGACAGAACTGCAGGCTGGCGACGATTTACCTTCGGTCTGGGGCGTCATCAAAAAGAGGGTTGTATCCGCTGTAACTACTGCTGGAGTGGCGTCTGGTGGCGAAAGTATTACGAGACTTTAGTTGCCGGACAACGCTGCATGCCAGCGTGGATAAGAAAGAAGGCTGCACAAGTCTCATGGTACTCAGAGGCGAAATCACGGAGGCCAACGTCTCAACTGTTTTAAGTAAAAGGAGCAGGCAGAGCTGTGAGATGGAAAAGCACCAGCAGCGTATATAAAAACTGCTGCGAGAATGACTATAGATCAATCGCTGGTGCAAAGCTCACACCAGAAATGACTATGAGGCAAGTCGCTTTATAAAGTCCTGTGAAGGCTGTTCGGACAACACGAGACTAGAAGTTGGATAAATCAACTCGGGGGGCGTCCCTCTCATGTTGACCCAACCAGCAACGATCGCGCAGAAGGATTGAAACATTTGCTTCCAGCTACCTCAACAAATATGTTGCATGTTCTGCATGAAGATACCTGTTGACTCTTGCTTTGCATCGATAATCAGGGCCCAGCGCGTAGGCATTCCCACCTGCTCTCTGATAAAATATCAACCTCCTGGTCCTCGCTTTCGCATCGGACAAATTCCAACCCGCTCCAGAATGTCCTTGACCGCCCGTGCGGTCTGACTCACGTAGCTCGAATTCACCCTGATCAAATCACAGGAATGAGGGCAACTTCTCTTCTGGCCTCTGCTACTGTTATAGGCGTCGCGTCCAAAGGTGTACGCGCGTTCCAATATCCGGTATCGCGCTCTCTGACCCAGCTTGTCGGAGCAGGAAGCTATGCGTCCGCGGTACCTACTTTAAACAAAAATTCGGGCCCGATCCATCTTAAACGAGATGGAGTGAGGCGTTATCTGTGGAATAGCATCTTTAATGCTGCTGGGAAGGGCGACGGCATTGATTATTCCACCCTGACTGGAATGGAGGCTAAGGAAGCTGCCGAGCTTGCCCTCAAGGGCGTCGTCCAGGATAAGAGCAAAGATGGATACGAGATTGCCACCTTCGCAGGAGGATGCTTTTGGGGTCTCGAGCTAGCTTATCAGCGGGTCGTGGGTGTGATAGACACCTCAGTAGGCTATACCCAGGGGAAAGATGAAAAGCCAACGTATGACTACGTCTGCTCTGGCATGAGCGGGCATACGGAAGCGGTGCAAGTTTTCTTCGACCCAAAGGAGGTGTCATACGAGTATTTGTGCAAGTTACTCTTGACTCGCATCAATCCTACTTTAAAAAATCAAGTAGGGAACGATCGTGGTGCGTTTTCCATAAGATCGACTAATGCAGCTGAGCGATGTCTTCCTTCCAACCGGCGTACCCCATGTTTCGTAATTCTCACAAAAATTTCACCCAAATCATTCAATTTTTTATCTGTACTTTTACAGGGACACAATACCGACACGGCATCTATTACCACAACGAAGGGCAGGAGAAGGTGGCAAAGAAAGTTCTCGAAGAAGCCCAGGCGCAATTTAGCAAGCCGATCGTTACAGAGTGCCTCCCCGCCACTGTGTATTGGCCTGCAGAGGAATACCATCAGAAGTACTTGGAGAAAGGTGGGCGATTTTCAGCAGGGCAGTCGGCGGCAAAAGGGTGCACTGATCCTATCCGATGCTATGGGTAGATGGGACAACAAAACGGAAAGCCGCGGGGAGAGAGGGAGGCGGGAGATTTTTTTCCTGGGAAAGGTGGATGTAGGCAGCGTTGAAACAAGTTATTCGATGAATGAATGCGATTGTGAGACTAGTGAGGTGTTGGCTCGAGCCTCAACGCGTGCAACGGCGAAACGTGTGCCTTTGCTTTGGGTATAGCCCAAACTGGAAAACAGGGCTCGGCCGTTGTTTCTACTCGCGGACCTCTCAGAATTCGTGTATGTTCAGACAGATAATTTTACGGTGCGAAAGAAACGGAAGAAAGAGTTCGTCGTAAATTTCTTAAAGATACTTATTCCAGTTTTGTTTTGCCTTGACAAAGCCTGCCCTTCCCTTTTATGATTCGGGCATCATCGAACCGCGCGTTCAAAAAAGAGCTCGCGCAGGTGTGAATTCATGAACATGTCTTGAGGGTCCAGTCGGCGTCGTACCCTCAGATATTTCTCGAAAGGTTCGCCGTACAGGGCACTCAGTTCATGGTAAGCCAAGTAGTGCAGTTTACCCCAATGCGGCCTCCCCCCGTTGGGGATCCACACTTCCCTCTCTGCCGCCCTGAGATAAGGATCACTGTCGAAGCCTTTCACGAGCGTGGCAACGGAGACAAACCACGAGATGCTATCCGACATCGTCTTGTCTTGCCCAGTATTGTCGTGGCTGTTGTTTTGCGGCCCCTGTTCCCTACGAAATGGACTCAACCAGAGATCGTCGGCATGGGTCACGCGGATTTGCACGACGAAATTCGCGCCAATTTTCCCTCGGCGCGAGTCCAAGAAAGTAAGGAATGCTGTCATGGCTGCGTTGAAGCTCTCCAAGGGCAGGAACCACTCGGCCTCCCTGTAGCAGTCCGGGTGGTCGTCTAGGACGATGCCGCGGTGGCCGTGGGGATAGAACGACTCCCCCCACGCGAAGAGATGGAGGGCGGGGGCGACGACCTGCCGGTTCCAGAAGGGGACGTACGTAACAGGAAAGAGGCTAGAGAAAGAGCCTGCCGCACTCAGAAGGCGCAGCTGAAGAACACCTAGCCAGGGCCGAGAGGCCAGGAGGAGGGATGCTGAGAAGGACCTGAGGCTGGCGACGACTTTGTTATAAGTAAGAGACAGCATTAAAGATCCACTCTGCGCGGCGCTGGCCTCATCACCGCTCGTGGAGCCGAAATTCTGGCAGTGCTTGCGGCTATCGCCCCAGTCGTGCGTGGGAGGCACCTTGGTGGGCGGAATCCGAAGGCTCTCCATGAGCTGCGCCCTCCCCGTGTAGGGAATGAACCACACCAACAAGTGATCCACACCCGCAGCCAATGCTGGTAGTGTGCTAAGCACCGTGTTGAGAGGCAACAAGCGATTGCGTTTGATGACGGAAAATGCCTCAACCACTTCCATGCTCACTTCTGTGAGCACGCCTAAGGCGCCCAAATGCAGTACCGCTGCCTCAAACATATCGCGCATTGCCGGGTCCGGATCCCTCCGGCTCCCCCGCAGCACGTTTCCCCCGGCCGTGACGAGCTCTAGAGCCACTACATCTGCGGACATAATCTTATATCTGATCCCGGTGCCATGCGTTCCTGTGGCCAAAGCTCCTGCTAATGACTGACGGTCGAGGACACCCGTGTTTCGGAGCGCTAGTGGGGGATCGTGTGCAGCAAGGGCCGCGCTCAAGTCTCGAATGCGAATCCCGGCTTGCACAGTCACTGTTTTGGCAGAGGCGTCGATTGAAAGGACTTTATTGAATTTATCAAGATTAAGCATGACCCCGTCCGTGAGGCCGATAGGAGTCCAGGAGTGTCCGGACCCAACCACTTTGACTGTCTGGTTGCTGGCAGCGGCTTCTCGGAGTATACCAATGAGTTCCTCGTGATTTGACGGTTGCAAAAAGAGAGTAGGAGCTTGCTTGTAAAACTTGTCGAAAGAGGACCATTCCACACGCTCTCCCCGGGCACTTGCTCGTGCTAAAGCTCCAGGATCGTTCTCCACGTACACGAATCTATGAGAGAGCCAATAAGCCAAAAAAGCTAGTAAGAACCCCCAGATGGCCCTGCCTTCTTGTATTGGGAAGTTTGGGGGGTCACGATGCCCATCCTGGTGGTGATGGTCCTGGGCATGACCTGTCATGCTCACTAGGCGCGACAAGAGCTAAGGGAGGAGGAACAATACTTGAGGAAAGACGAAATCTGACGGCACTTATGGTCAGATTCGAACATTTTATAAGCCCTCTACACCTACAAGGTGTATAGCCTATATGATCTGATATACTAATTACGAAATCGTGGAGGAATGGCAGGTGAAGCAGCCCGCAAAGAACAAGAACATCCTTGGTCACGAGGAAACGCTATAAAGGAACGTACACCATGGTCCCTGAAGAGTGCCATGTTCGCATAAATGGTTTTGGCACCATATCCCTTCCACTTTTTATACTTGCTTTCTACACTTTTCTTTTTCTAGGTCCTCGTCATGATAAAGTTAAAAGTCTTCATTTCTCGACTCTTTAGTTCACATCGCCAAAGCTGTACATACCCAGAAGTTTAACCTCCTGCCCCCTTTTTCGAGCAAAAGTCTGCTTGTCCACATTAGCAACGCTGCACCACCCAGCCTACCGCTACTGTACGTCCAATCCTCACCACTATCATCATCCCCACACGAACATACTCAGCATGGAACAAGAACCGAAAACGACAGTGCACTGTCTCTCCTTTACCCGCCGATGAACGTCGCCCTTGGTCAATGCTCAGAAGCTTGGCTGTTTGGCGTGTCTTATGGATGTGAAGGGAGGGTTCAAGATTACAGGATAGCGGCCCATGGGTGTCGCTTAGCACTACAATCTCTGCCTCGAACTCTAAGGCGGCTACGGGGCAGGCGGCAGGGGAGACAAGCACGATGCCTTTGTAGGTTTTGGTAGTAAGCGCCCGCGGTACACCTGACGTAAACAGCCTCTCGTCGACGCTCCCCTCTGCCACATCTCTTCCATGATTAATCTTCGCATTCTCGCAAATTTGCACTCCTTGACCACCTTGCAAGGGAGAGCAAGGGGGGCCTTCATTTGGGCTCTCTGGGCACAGTAGCCCCTCGAGGCAGATCGCTTCCTCCGCCTCAGGCGCGAACGTCAAAGTGACGCATTGACCCGCCCCCACCGACCGCACTGGCACCTTATGGAGATGCAGACTCCTGACGACCACCATCTCGAAGGCACCGGATTCCCGGAGAGGGCCCAGGAGCATGCGGTCTCCCACTGAGACCCTTCCTCGGTCGATGGCCCCCGCTAGCACGCAGCCCACGCCCTCCACATCCAGGGAGGCGTCAATGTGCACCTCCGCGATCCGATCCTGTCGCGCCTCCGCCCAGGTGGGGGACCGGGGCAGCGCGCGGAGGAAGCGGCGGAGGAGGTCGAGCCCCTGACCCGTGACGCTCGAGACAAGGAAGACGGGGAGACAGGGCGCGAGCCTGGCCCGGCCTCCCTCCCCCGCTCTCCGCGCTCCTGTATGGTCACTGTCCTTTTTAACACCTTCTGCCTCCCCGGGCTCTGGCTCGGTTGCCCGGGCCCCCGAATGTCTCGCGACCCTCGAGGCGGCCGCTCCGGGGGGAGGGGAGGAGTACCCCGACGCGTAGGTTCGAATGGCTCGTTCCAAGTCGGCCTCCCCCCGTACTAGCCAGCATGACTCTCCCTCCTTGTCCCAGGAGCTCACTCCCTCCCCATCCGACAAAGAACCGTCTCCCTTTTCTTGCAGACCCTCCCCTGCCCCCCTTGGAGCGCCCCCGCCCCCGACGCCCCGGCCTGTCCAGCCGGGCGTTTCTGGGCCCGCCTTCGTCGAAAGAGGAGGCGAGGACGCGGGTGATGCTGTGGGTGAGTTGACGACTCCCTCTCGACCTTTTCGACGCCCTCGGTGCGCGCGAAAAGCGGCTTGCAGCATGCCCATGGTGTGTCTAAGCTGCGCCTCGGAGGCCAGATCGGCTTTAGTCAAGACGACAAAGAGCGGTGTCCGGAGCGAGAGCGCGAGCTCCAAGTAGGCCAAGGCGTCTCTGTCCTTCTCGGAGCTCCCCTCGTCTCGAGACAGGCCGCGGCATCGGGCAGGATCGTCCTCCCTCCCTGCCAGGCACGCCCCCCCTTCATCCTGCATGCCGTCCGAGACTCGGCTCCTTCTCGACGAATTCGACGCAGCATTTCCCCTTTCCACCTTGACCTCGTTTCCTGCGCTCCAGCTTTGGCGACATTGAGACTCAGGGTCCTCCCTGTCCATCATGGGGCCAAGGTCCATCGCGTCCCCGTGGACGACCCCGGATGGAGCCTGGCGGGAGTGCCCGTCCCGCCGACAGGCCTCCTTCGGCATCCTTTCCTCTTCCCTTGTCCTCTCTTGCTCTCTGCTCCCGTCGGGGCCCTCCTGGGAGGCTGGGGCATGGGCCGACCCCCCCCCTTTCCCGTCTCCGTCCTCCCAGCCAACCTCCTCCCCTCCCTGGCCCCCTTCCCCAGCCCACGCCGCCGAGGCAGGGAGCGTGACCATGGCATGATCGGGGGATAGGCCTGTGATGCCGGAGAACGTGGTCTTGAGGTACTTGGCGTGGCCGGCCAGATCGATGAAGGAGAGGACGTGGCTGCTCTCCCGCTGGATTTCCTCCGGGCTTAGGACGCTGGGGGCCCCGGAAGGGGCCGAAAGGGAGGAAGGGAGGGAGGTCCCGAAAGAGGGAGGCGCAGGGAAATCGCTGTCGTCCTCCGAGCTGAGGCTCCGAGACCGATGGCCGCGGGCGCCGCCGACACGCGTCGTGGCCTGGAGGGACGACTCAGGAGGGGGCATGCAGTCCTTGTAATTGGCAACAGAGCCGTCCTTCCGGAAGCCGAGGATGTGCTGCGACACGCTCGAGGTCCTCCCGTTCTCTACCTCGTGGTTGTGGCGGAAGACCTGCATGCGCGCCAAGCCCTGCCCGTTGTCCAGCTTGCCCGTCGTCAGCACCCCCACCAAGGTGCTCTTTCCCCCCTCCTCCCCGCCGAGAACCGCCACCCGGACCCGCTCATGCGCCCTCGTCAGGCCCCAGGAAGAAAATTCTGTTCGCTGAAGTCGAACGTGGGCGATCCTTCCACCCGTCACCCCGCGAAAAGCTCGGATCTGCACCAGACGGGCTCGCACCCCTCCGGCCATGACCCGCAGGGTCTCAATGGAGGCGCGCAGCTCCACGTCAGGGAGGCCTTCGGGGAACCCGTCGTCCCTAACACCAATCAAATAGAAGGCATCGCCTTGAGGACTTTCGTTGAGTCGCCAGTTCAATTGTGTGGTCAAGTGCAAGAGCCGCTCTTCCGAGGGCCGACAGAGGTGAAGCTTGTGCTCGATGTTGCCCTCTTCCACCTCCCGCTCGAAATGCGGAGCCGTTTCGAGGGAGGCCGGAGGGGCAAACAGGCTAGACATCATACTGCTGCTAGTGGAACCGTTATCGGCTCTGGGTTGGTGATCGCTGCGGGGAGCAACCCCAGAGCGCGTGATGGGGGAACCCTCGCTTCGAGAACGGCATCTGCGCGCGTGATTATTGGCTTCGTATGGTGTAGGGGCGCGATGGACTGCTGTCACGGATGCTGCCATTATTGGGATCCTCGCGCCAATGATTTTTACTTCGCTTGTTTTAGGGGGAAGGCTGGCAAGGTCCACCGGGCTGATGATCCTACTCTCTGTCATATTATAGTGGAACCGCTTTTCTTCTTCTCGATGTTCTTGGTCGTACAATCAGATTAAAACCGCTTGGTGATGCAGCGACAATACTGTGTGGCATCTTTAGTCTGGACAGGCGACTGCGAAAAGTGCGGACTGCGTGTAGATGATGCTACTACTGTATAACCCTGACACGCTGGGTGGACTTCGCCATGAAACTCCTCCCTCAAAATAGGAACTCGCTTGTGCCAATGACTGATAAGAGAAGAAGATCTTAAAAAAGTATCTAAGGCTCCTTCTATCTCTAAAGTAATATGTGAGATGGGACGTTAGAGTGTTCAACAAGCTCTGCATTCCAATTGCTTTGTGTCTAGCAGTCATGCGACCTTTTTTCACTCTTTGTTTTCGAGCTTATATCCGGTCAGGCAACCGACCGTAAGGTATCATGGAAAAAGGCTCAAGAAAAAGTTGTGCTCAAGAAAAATGTGTCTGCATTGCACGGGCATACTGAGCACATTGAGGGTGGGCACTGCACTCCAGATTGGAGATGATATGTATGTGCGCGACCGTCCACAACCGGGTATCTTTTCTCTCTCGTGAAGCATCATAGCGTTTGTGGCACCACGAGCACAGATGACAAGACCCTCATCTCGGGAAGTCTAAAGCTGGTAGCACATGGCTTGCCGGCAACGTTTCCTGTGAAACGCATTGCTGACCTGCCATTTTGATTAATTTGCAGCACATCATCGTGCGTTCCAGTCTTAAAACGTTCAAGGAAGGGTTTCCTCATCATGCGCGAATATACGCTAAAAATTCGGGAAATTGCTCTGTAGTTTCCTTTTATAAAGAAATTAATCAAACTATGTATCCTTTTAAACAGTGCTGCAAAGACTTGCTGTCAATTTGCTGAGCGATACTACTTGATTTTAGATTTTATCACCTTGAATGTGGTGTATTTTAAGCCGCAGTTTTTGGTGCGTGCTATTTTCGAAATATCTTTTTCTTGATCTCTGACCTGGCTTCTAATTTTCATAGGCTCCATCGCTCACTGTCATGTGGTCGTGTCCCTTCCCTCACCTAAAAACCAGCTTCCACAAACTTGTTCCGTTTACTTCCCTCCCCCACCGCCTGTAAGAGCCACCCATGTCCCGAAGCAACCGCTCACTACACCGAAGAGGATTGTGGCGTGCAGCAGAAGGATTTCCCCTCTTGAGGTATGAATGTCCTTGCGCCGCCTTAGAAGGTGAAGGTACATGAAAGGCGGGAAGACGTAGACGATGGCCGCGCCCAAGGAGGACCCCACCAAGCTGACGAGGAGACCCACGTCATTGCAGAGCAACGAGATGCATGTAGCCCCGCCTAAGAGGACAATCGTGGACAACAACCAGGTCGAGGGCCGAGAGACCACATTGGGGGGCAAGATGCTCAAAAAAGAGTCGCGCAAGCCGCTAAAGAGCAGGGGATGTGCCCCGATGATCGAGACGGCAGTCGCGATCCGGCCCATGGTGGCCAACACGTCTTGGGAGACGTGGTAGTTGTTCAGGACCAGACCCTGCGAAGCCAAGCCAAAGGTTTCGAAGCCGAGCGTCATCGCGGCCAGGTAGATGACGGTGGCGGACCCCATCGCCCCCGCCACCACCTGCCAAAACCGACGGACGCTGCGGCCCTCGAGCTCGTTATAGAACTTGACCGCGTTCGTGTGCGCCATGTAGGAGGTGGAAAACATGCTAAAGAGGATCGCCGTGCCCACGGACATCTTCCAGGGACCAAAATGGGCGGGACGGGGACGGAGTTCCGGCGCGATAGCGGCAAAGAAAGCACCGCCCTTGGCGTAGCTCCCGTCCCAAAAGCGCCAGGCCATGAAAAGGACCGTGTAGATGACCGCGGCGATCCCGACATAGGAGGAATACTGCAAGGCACTCAAGTCCTTAAGCAACGTGAGCGGGAACAGCACCGTGATGGTGACTGCGAGAATGCTGGCTTCCCGGGAAGACAGCCATGCCGGCAGCCCGGCACCTTTCAAAAGAGACGTGAAAGTGTCGCCCACAAAGCAAGCGTACACAATGCAGACCGCAAACGCCAAGGCCGTAATAGCATAGTCCACCACCCAAGCGTGTGCGGGCCCCACCGTGCGTGACCAGGCCTCTTTGAAAGAACGGGAACGCGTGGCTTCGACCGACCGCCCCACCAACACAAAGGTATACGCCGAGCTGACGGCTGAGAAGGCGAGCAATAAATAGGCAGGGATGTATCCTGTCCCAGCCCCTGCGGCCAATCCTGCAGGTAGAGCAAGCATGCCGCCACCGATGATGTTTTTGGCAAGGTTGACCATTGAGGCGACTGAAGAGCTGGTGCCGGGGGGAGGTGCGACAGGAGCAGGAGGCTGGGAGCCGCCAACACCCCCGCCTCGGATTCCTGCGAACAATGCACGGGACTTGCGGCGAGGCAATGTGCTGGAAGCGCCATCACGAGACTTTTTAATTATGTAGCTATCTTTTTGGAGCCGGGGGGAGTTGCCGTTGCCGGCGCTGCGTGATGAGGATGGTGTTGCTGACACGAACGTCAGAAGGCTAGACACCAACAAGAGGACGAATAGCGCTGCCCGAAATTGCCGAG